TTCATCAACTAAGGCAATCTAAAACACTAATTAGTTCTCCGAGGTCCTGCCATCGACTGCCGAAGTCCCTGCGTTCAGCTGCCCCAGCCGCCAACTCGCGACTTTTTTCCCGCAGGAACAGTTGCAGCCGTGCATGGCAGAATCGCCTGATGAGCTTCATTTTGATTTCATGGCAGTTGGGCAGCTGAACACATTGGCTCTCTGCAGCCATCCTCGCCGATAGGCCGTCCAGGATGCCCCGTGCATGCATCAAATCCGCAATGAGGCTGCGAAAGACACTTTCACAAATTGTGAAGAGGGCGCGTGCAGCTTCAGAGGGGCAGGTCAGAGCGTCAGGGACATAACTCTTTAGCCTGAGGAGGGTATTTCCAGGTGCCATGGGGACTCGAACAGCTGCAGCACACGTGTCACATGTAGCATTATTTTTTACAACTCTTCGTACCACATACCCGCGTAATAGTCAAAGCTATCCTCCTCAGGTTGTGACATGGTGAGTTCTACCTCCTCAAGAAAAATGTCGGTGGGCACAGCAGGTTGTACATCCAAGTCTGCGAGGTCAGCCAGGTAAAAGGAGGCATCGTCCAGTTCGTAGGACCCTGCCTTGGACGCCTTCAGGTACTGCGAGTGTGTGATGATTTTCAAGGTCATCTTAAACTCCAAGAAGTTGTGATAGGGTTGCCCTGTCGCACTACCGAAAACAAGTTCTCATGGCAGTCCTGCGTGAATCTGGATGTGAGCACAAATGAAAAAGAATGTCTCTCAATGAGACTTTGCTGCAGGTCCAGAATGGACTTAGTAGAGAGGATTACCCCCACCTGCACTGGCTTGAACGCCCCATCCCCAATAGTGAGGGGGAGAAAAAGATCCTTAAATTTGACCAGAAAGTCAAGGGTGTTCTTGTAGCAGGCCTCATTTTGCCTGCTGATCGCAAGGACTGGGTGCCTGCTGCTCATAAGATCAAACCATTTGTTGACCTGTTCCAAGAACCAAGCCGTGGTGAGGAAGTTGGTGCTCCAGCCATGATTCTCCACCAGGAAGCGCAGGGCAGTGGCCGTGGAGTGACTGAGGACCCGTAGGGCAGTGCTCACCTACAAACACAGAACTGCTTTAGATCATCAAGTGTATGCAATGTTTGGTAAACTGGACTGAAGGAATCAATGATTTGAAACTTCCCCCTCAGTCAATAAAAGAACAGCATGGGCACTAAACGAAGAAAAGGCTGCTAACTTCCATTCCTGTTGTCCATACGAATGGTTTTTGCTGGTTTTTTATGAGTTTTTGCCACTCTCTTAAAGTTGGCAGTTCCACTTCACGAGCAAAGGTGATGAGTGCCAGCGCTGAAGTAAAGTACACTCCATGGTTACTTTGGTAGCTGTGCGTTGCTAAAAGTGTCACCGACTCCGATTTGTGAACCACTGACTGATTTTGTTGAAAACACTTTAAGGGAAGCTAAAGAGGTTCTCCAAAAAAAATTAGAGGTAAATTCTTCCGTATTTGTATCCTGCAAATTTGAATATGCACTATTTGCTCAAGAAGTATCACCCAACGCAAAGAAATATTTCAAAAATTCACTCAGCATGATGTCACGTCAAGAACTTTCACCTGGCCACCGAAGCTCAAGCACCATCTCTCGTGCAGTGTTCCGGCACATGTGACCAACCAGCCTTGCCCAATGCAGTGCTTTTTTTATTCTCGTGAAATGGTGCGTCATCTGCTACAGACGCCTAGTTCCCGCTACAATCTTTCACGCCTGACCAACATCCGCTAAATCTTTTATGAAAGTTTATAGGTGTACTAAACTTACGTCAAAACAAACAGGCGAGCGAAAATCGTGAGCATGAGGTGAATCGCACACAATTTGTCGACCACTCAAATAAGCTTGCAATAGCTGCAGAGATTCCAAGGATCCTTGTTGCGACGCTGCTGTCTCTCAGAAATTTCCTCCTAGCTTCTTACACCTCGGGAGGGCGGGGCTTCAGCGCTATGGTCAAAATGCTTTGATGGCTACTCCGGGCCTCAAATTGACAAATAATTTTAATATTCGTGATACTGGAGGCCATATGAAGATGATGCAAGTGTTTTTTAAAGGTACAAAACCGCTTTAGTTTCCCCTTAAGCAGGCATGTGCGAATAACGAATTTTATGTTTCAAGCGAATAAGAAGCTAATAGTGACTTGGGTCGAATAATTTCGAATCGCATATTGAATACTTGCGGTGCCTTTCTGATACTGCCATTGCGCTCAGCTTCCGCCATCTTGACAGTGTTGATGTCAAGATGGCGGAAGGTAGCTTAGCTTGGAAGCTAACCTAAGTTAGCTTCCAGTCGTGTGTAACTAGCTTAGCTAGCTACAAACAAGCTAAGCTACATGCTAACTTAGCTTAGCACTCTTACCTTAGTACACATTTTTCAAAACATTATAGTAATTGAGTGATGGATGAGTGTGAACGAGTATGAATAAAAAGTCATTTTAGATATGATATAAAGACTATCATACCTAAAACACCTAATATCAAGGGGCACACAGTAATCCACTGAAATCAGGTTAGACAAGAGTAATTTTGAGTATGTTTTGTTCACGTTCTCAAGGATGTGCGTAAATTCTGCAGTTGTTAATCGAAGCAACAAATGAAGCTTGTCATTTAGTTCTCCTTGTCAACAGCATTTTTCCTGTAGAGATAGCTTTCTAGTGCACAAACTCAGCATGTGAGCAATGATTATACTTTGTAAAGGAAAATCTAGCTGGTTTCATTTAGGTTATTCTCAAGTATCTGCCTACCCACTGCCAAGGCTCAGTTAATTCTGAGCCCTACATAGAGATTGTAAGTAGATGAGAGATTTGTCAGTCCTCTTGCTATACCCAAATATTCGTTTTAAATCTTAGACTAAAGAAATGATGAGCAATGATGCACACTGCTTGACGGAACCTCAATTGTAGAGTAACACATATTCATGGTGAAAGCCAGTTTTTTCTTTTTTTTTTTGGCCTTGAGGTAAGCACTTATATTGACCAGGAACATGAACAATCATTACGCTACATTACAATGTTTTCCTGCATTCGTCGCACACGCGCGTGACCTCTTCTTCTCTGGAGGTGTGCCTTCCACTCAATGCACAATCGCAGTGCCTGCGAAATACGCACGATCACGGTGTTTTCTCTGTAAGTGTCGCTTCTGCACAGCACACCGGTGCTCGTTAAGAAGCGCACTCAACTGCGCTAACTCGCTGCAATCGCGACTTTGCCAGCACTTAGAAACTGTGCACATCACCGAACGAACGGCACGCAGCCAACTCATCGCGAGTCCCAAGGGCAACTGATAAGAGCGCTAGAGCGATCTCGACATCACAGGACACAGGACACACACGATTGGTAGGTGAGATGATGACGTTTTATTCTAGTAGGGCCGCGCCAATCACGGGGTGCAGATTAGACCTACCTTCCACTACATTAATGGGACGCTTAGTACCTGGGAATGGTGACTAGAATGACGTCACGTGAGAACTGTGTATAGCCATAGGCTGGGGATGGCAACATGTGCAGCATGTGCTGAGCTGTAAACAATGTTTAATTTTGGCCATTCGTGTGCAGAGATTAGTCATGAGCTGCCCAAATGTTTGCCGAGGCACTTATTGTCACGAACCCAAGTCAAGTGTTCATGCAGTGCTCGTATGGAATCCATAAGCCTCATTCGACCATCATCACCACAGGGTGCTCTCCTAGACACCGTCAGCATAATTACCTCCATGGTCGCATCAGCAAGGTTACAAAAATTGGGAGTGAAGGAAACACTCCCCCTCTAAACTTGAATTCACATCTCGACGCGTGCAAGATACTGAGGTCAAACTAGTGCTGTATGCCTGCGATGAGAGAATCATTCCAACACAATATCAATAATCTACCCCTTCATACCACACTGCAACTAAGTGAAAAAGGAACCATGACACCAACTTATCATTTAAAAATAAATTGTGTAAAATACAAAAACACTACAGTTACTAACAAGGATATTATATCTGCAAATAATCAACAGGGAGCTTTGAAGCATTTGAGTGGCCTGACAACAAACTTGCCTTCAAGCCGCCGCCCCAGAGTTCTAGACGACGGCAATGGGAAGCTCCCCTCCAGTAGCAAGTCGTAGCCCAAGCTGCCACATGCAAATCGCATCTGCAGCGACTTCTTCACCGTCTCATTAGACCACTTGGACCCCCTGTTGCTGGATCTCGATAGAGCTGCCAGTTGGTCCGCAGTGAAGAACTTGTGCAAGTGAGACCGGAATGTCGCTTCCCTTGTCTTTTGTAAGGCAGCCTGCCTCACCAAGCGATGATTCTCGTTCTCCAGCTGCTTGATCTTCCGGCTCATCTGAAAAAAGACATCTTCAGTAAGCCTAGGTAAAACGGATGATGGAGAAAGAGGCTGTAGGGTTCGCTCAGAGGTCTTGGCCGCTGGTTGCCACAAACACGGTACAAGAATTGGGTGTTGCCCACCTTGAGATCACTCCAAGCAGTGCAAGAACCATGACACATACCCAGCTGGTGGAGGCCGCCGACACCAAGGTGCCGAGGGCAGCTGCGCTGGCCTGGCCGCGCTGGTTGTCACTGGTCACCTGCAGCGAAGGGTGCGGTGGTATTGCTACACGGGGGTACGCAGGACCCTGGAAGATGCTTACGAAGCACGCCCCGCTGGTGGTGGGGAGCGGCTGCGTTAGCAGGCCGCCCTGCAGGGCCGCTCCAGAGGTCCTGGCTGCTGGTTGCTGCAAACACGGTATGAGAATCGGGTGATTCCCACCTCACAAGATCACTCCAAGCCGTGCAAGAACCACATACCCAGCTGGTGGAGTGTGCTGACACCAAGGTGCCGCGGGCAGCTGAGCTGGCCTGGCCGCGCTGGTTGTCACTGGTCACCTGCGGCGAAGAGCGTGGTGGTATTGCTACACGGGGGTACGCAGGACCCTGGAAGATGCTTACGAAGCACGCCCCGCTGGTGGTGGGGAGCGGCTGCGTCAGCAGGCCGACCTGCAGGGTCGCTCCGGAGGTCCTGGCCGCTGGTTGCTGCAAACACGGTAGGAGAATCCTCGTTTTGCAGAAATATGGGTTCGAGAATAAATGGATTTGTCGCCCTTTCTCTCTTCATGCTGGCCGAGCAGAGAGGGACGAAGGCTTCTTTGTATTTACCTCGGGGTGAAAGATAATCCTCAAGGGGGACAAAAGTGGTTTTGGGGGAGCTCTATCTAAGTCACTGCGACACAATAAGCCAACGGGACGCAGTGGACGTGCCTGCGGCCAGGGAACTCTCGTCTTTTAGCCATGCATTCTCAAACCACTAATTCTGCAAATGGTCCATTGGGTGTTGCCCACCTCACGAGATCACTCTAAGCCATGCAAGAACCATGACAGATACTTAGCTGGTGAGGCTGTCATAACATTACAAGGCAGCTGAGATTGATGAATGCCTCATGCATTAACTTAATAGAAGCAACAGAATATGAGTTATTGGGTTTTGACTTACATTTCCATGAGGCGGGGTTTTGTGCTGTGTCAGGCTGCAACACTGAATGATGGTGTCTCATGCACTCTTGCACAAGAACCACTCCGATTTAAAAAAAAAAAAAAGGTCTCTGACATGGAACAGAGATGTCAACAGCCTACCAAGTCCACATTATTATAGGTCACCTGTGCGTCTTTCAAATCATATCAGTAAAAACATCTTAACACAAGATAAATTATTGCTTTTAATTCACTCTCATAATCTAGGTAAATACCAAAAAAACAAAAATCTCACGTATCCTCGTTACACGGACTCACTTGACTTTCAGAATGCAGAAACAAGCTCGGAACAGCTGTGGCTTTTAGCCTCCTCCAGCCGTCAGAGCACCTCGTCTGGAACTGGGAGGGCTCGAAGTGGTCCTGCAGCGAATAACGTTTTGGTAGACGTCAAAACTGTATTCAGCCGCTCGCGTCACAGTACAGTTATTCCGCTGACGAGAGGCTCACGCTTTCAAAATACGCGATCTTACAAATCCATCATCGCACGACCGCCACAGGCCTGAACCACTCGTCTTTCTGCGGTGAAGCGAAAGCGCACAGGACGCTTCCACGGCAGTAGAGAATAGATCACAAAATACACGGTTTTGTCACAGTGCACTCGCGTCCACCGTGCTCGCGTCACATTATTAACAATGAACAATACCTCACCTCGCAAAGGTACGTTCTGTCGGGAAATTTCCACCCCGCGCCACGCTTGATTCCTGAAAGCCACAGTTTCCGTCTCCTCGGGGATTTCGGCAGCTTGAACAAGCGAATTCCCCTGGAAGCTCTGTTCCGGCACTTCAGAGCACAACAACGACCCATTTTTCAAACAAGACCGGAACGGCGGAACTCCCGCGGCTACACAAACTTTTGTTTACGTTATTTCAACGCACGTGTCCGCGTGCGCATTCGTTTATTCTACCATTAAAGAAGGCTATGACGAAAAGCTCACATGCACCAAGTTTTCAGTCACCGAGCGTTAACTTTTTTAACTCTAGCGACGCTAAAATGAAATTACCGAACCCTGCTTTACTTTTGAGGCTCACGACTGCCGCTAGGGGAGGTTTTGCGGCTTGTGATTGGCCACGAGCGGCCTGTCAATCAACTATTCGACCAATAGATTTTCGCCCCATTGATACCAATGAATGGCCAAACTCTCCCAATATACGGCTCTGGGCGGTACCGCCCGGCGGCGCCGCCCGGCGGCGCCGTTCACGCCAGTGTGGTCGGGCCTTTATGCCGATCACGTGGACGGCGCTCAGCAGAGAGAGGAAACGTTGCTGACGTCACCCGTTACGGTTGCCCGGAGAAGTAAAAACAAAAAAATAGGGCAATGGTGATGACTGTTGCTGTTGGCAGCACCGTAGCCTTGAGTACGCTGCCGATATCGGCAACTTGAAGCGTTGGAAGGTCAGCCGGACCGTTTAAGAATCGTTTAGAGAGAACTAGGTCATAATATTTGACATGTGGTTTACCCACGTGATATAGAAGAGGACTGCAATGTTTTAAACAAAACAAAAATGGAGCGGAGTGGCCCTTTAAATAAAAGCGACGCGCAAATTTGTGTAATTAACGTGCGTCATTATCACCGCGTCAATAAACTATGCATTGCAGGAAGCTCGAACTGCGTGAGAATATGGTGCACAGAGGTCGGGTATAGCGCGAACGTTTGAGAAAAATGACGTTCCTTGAATCAAAATGCTGACAAAACTTCTTTTTCACTGGTATTAATGCCCCGCCGCATTTCTTGTTTCGGCGATATTAGGCTTGGCTGGACATCGACTCATAGAGGACTTTCGTCTTTCTCTTTTGTCTTTCGATCCAAATAACATCATGTTCTCAAACATTCGCCCTTGATCACAACCGCCAGCGTCGAGCTCCTACGAAGATCCAGCTTCCTGCGACGCGTTACGTATTTACTCGGGAACGCCCAGTGCCTAAATAAATAAATGGATCGTGCGGAGAGACTTAGGAAACCACTTTCGTTGGCTATCCTCTGCACTTCTTCTGGTCGGCGACTTGCTACGAGCGGAAAGTATTCTTTTTATATGTATACGCGTTTGTTGGTTTCTTTTGTTTGCTCTTTTAAACGCATGAAGATTTGCCACGAACCTGTGGGACATGCTCTGTTGTTTACCGATCCGAGCTTTTCGAAGTTTTCAGGTGAAGTTTTTGAATTGGATAAGATATGTAAGTATCTCCGCATAAGTAAGAGCGACCCGCAAATGAGAAAGCGCGTGACGGAGGTCTTTCAATGGTTTTAGTTTCACATCAACAATTTGCGTTCGTTCAAATTTACGTTCTTGTTCATCTCATCTGAGGGTGCGCGTTTGTGCGCGTGCGTGCGTGCGCGCGCGTGCGTGTGCGTGTGTGCGTGTTTGTATTTGCGTGCGTACGTGCGTGTTTGAGAGAGAGATGTGGGGGTGGTGGGGACTTTAGGAACAGGTTAAGATATTTCTTCATTTCCGCTTAAATGAGAGCGACGTGCAATTTGTATAATTATTGTGTTATTATCCCCGCGTAAACAACTCTTCATCTCAAAAAGCTTAAGATCCGTTCGAGTGCGACGCACGGCAATCGGGTTAGAACGCCAAATGTTTGAGAACATGACGTTACTGGGGACCAAAATATAATTGAGTAAAACGAAATTTCTCTGAACCGACGTCCACATAAACCTAAAACCATCAAAACAAGAACTCGAATTCTGGACGCACGTGGCATTTATATCAGCGAAAAGCATGCACTTGTCAGAATGTGAGATAATATTGTTTTTCTTTTCTCGCTTACAAACCTTTTTTCGTTGGAATAGATGCTACAGGTGGGCCACGTTGTAATCATCTTGTTTTGACGATAGCATGGCTCAGCTGGATGTCTGCTCATAGTGGACTTTGTTTCTCCCTTTTATCCTTTGATGCAGGTAACATCATGTACTCAAAACTTTTGCGTTCTGTAACAACCGCCAGCGTAACATCCTCACGGACTTCCAGCTTTCTGCGAGGCATAATTTATTTAAGCCGACCAAAATAAAACAAACAGAGATCTCTTTTCTCGCGAAATCTCAGTATAGGAGGTATTCACTGGACGCCATATTTGAGGGCGATGTTTAGAGCGCATGCTCAGAACGAGCTCAAATTAATAGCTTGCTAAGACCGGCAACCTTGATGGTGCTAAATGCACGCTCCAAAAGGACCGCGGAAGCTCGCCGTCAGCACGCGCTCAGCAGCAGCGCACACGGATATGGCCGCCAGTGAATACTCCCTATACAAATAAACAAACAGATCATGCGGGTATACTTATAAAGCGACTTTCGTTGGCTATCCTCTGAACTTTTTCTGCTCGGCGACTTGCTAAAAGAAGACAGTATTTTAATGTGTATAAGCGTTTGTTCCTTTTTGTTTTGTCTTTTAATGCAGGGACATTTGCCACGAACTCCTGGGACATGCTCCGTTGTTTGCCGACCCGAGCTTTGCGAGATTTTCCCAGGAAATTGGATTGGCTTCCCTCGGGGCTCCGGACGACTACATCGAACGTCTCGCGACGGTACGGTTCACATCCCAACTTCATTTGTAAATGGTACCACACAAAAAAAAAAAAAAAAAATGACCAAGCTGAGTACGAACATGAAGACTTGAATGAAGCTGTACTCTGTTTATGCTCCGTAATCAGGTGGATGTCAGAAACAATTTATGTGTATGGACAAAGTCGGAAGGCAAAGAAAGTACGTCCAGCGTGTTTCAAGCAGCTCCCACCATTGGTGCGACAAAGTAACACGACTACATGTATACTAACGATAATTATGCTAACCACAGCCGCTCCTTGTACAGGAAATATATATATATATATATAAAAAAAATGTCCGCTAGTGTCAGATGAAGTGAGTGACAGGCGGTCTAATTCAACCCTGAATCCCGTCGTGCGGGAACGACCAAAACTCGCAAGTGACGTCAACGGTTACCTTTTTCGTGTTCGGAAGGACGGATAAAAAGTTGAAAATGTTCAACTTTTCGAGACCCGGACGTGCCCGGATTTCGCAGTAGCCCATCAGGAGAGAGCGACCTCTACCCTCCTCGCACTCCTCATAAAGCGTGTGCGGGAGCCATCATGAGAGTCAAGTGCGCAAATCGCTTTCCGGGAATCCTACAAACAGACAAGGGGGGGAAGTCGCTTTTGTTGTATTCTCCTCCTCGAAGTTAGCATACTCCGTTTCACCTTCTGTTGTACCGCAGCGAAGGCTAGAATCGCGAGCTCATAGCGTTGGCAGCAGCCCTTAGTGCACGAGAGCTTGTGCCGCAAAGACGTGCCCTAGAGCAAGGAGCTCGCGCTTGTAGCATTCCCTGCTGCACATCATAAGGTGAAACAGAGTATAAAAACTTTCACAAAAGACACTATTTCTTTCTCTCTCATCCCGTCCACTCCTCCGCGTTTTCTTTTTCTTACTGTAGCCAATACAACAAACAATCCCCTCGACCTTCGCCACCCCCCCCCCCCCCCCCTTCCCCCCAATTTGCGGGTTGCCGGTGCGCTAGCTCCGTCATTTAATCACTACCGCACACTTTCGATTCACGAAAAGCTCCGGAAATTACCTATATACAAAAAAAAATGGTTTGGTTCTTTGACCCGTTTTGCAGTTGGGATTCGACCGCCCTTCAGTGTCTCGATTCCCGCCCGGAGACGATCCTTTGTAAGGTTGGGTCTCCCGGCGGGTATTGCCGGAAGACACATCTTTCACAGTTATTACTAGTGTCGAAACTATTAACTCCGGGGCATTGGAAGATGAGCCCTTACGCAGCAATGTGATCATTACAAGTATAGATCCCTCAAGAAAGCCGCCACCACTTCTCAGTACTCCAGGGCAAACCGGTGAAGCCCACCTTATCTGGTGCCATTTTTGACACCTCTTAAACAAACGCCCCATCCTCCTCTTTTATTTTTCGGGACTATTTTCAGATTTTGAGTGGGCGCTTTCTGAATAGCTCGTTAGTTGTTGCTGATGTATTCTCCTCTTTCCCACAGTGCTACTGGTTCACGGTGGAATTTGGCGTCTGCAACCAGGACGGTCAGCTGAAGGCTTATGGTGCCGGGTTGCTGTCCTCGTTCGGGGAACTCGAGGTGAAGAAGCTGCATTTCCTTCGCCAGAGGACAACTTCGAGTTAAATTAAACTGTCGCGATTTCATTTTTCTATTGAACGCCAATATATCTTTTTGGTAAACGCGCCGTGCCGTCTACGGTGTCAAAAGGAATGCCGGGAACTGGCTGTATAGAACAGGCTATAGTAGAGGACTGTGGAGAGCGTGAAGACTACGGGGGACGTGCATGCGAGCGAAAAGGCAGGCAAATAACTCTGCTATACTCCGTTTCACGATTAATTGGCGAGCTGTGGAGGCTGCGGCCCCCGCGACTCAATAGGAGGTATTCACTGGACGCCATATTTGTGGGCGATGTTTAGAGCGCATGCTCAGAACGAGCTCACATTAGTAGCTTGCTAAGCCCGGCAACATTGATGGTGCTAAATGCACGCTCCAAAAGGACTGCGGAAGCTCGCCGTCAGCACGCGCTCAGCAGCAGCGCACAGGGATATGGCCGCCAGTGAATACTCCCTATAAGGGCGTTTGAGCGAGGGGCGTGACACACGTCACGAGAGCGTTTTTGACACTGCAAAGACGAGAACAAATATTTTTTTCTCCTTTCTTAAAGCTTGCAAACGAATTTCCTAATTTAGGACAAAAGTAATTTCAAAAGTAATGAGTAATTTTCTCGAAATTACTGCCTGAAAGTAATTAATTACATTACTCCATTACTAGCCTACAGAAGTAATTCATTACATTACTCATTACTTCAAAAAGTAATTTAATTACTGTAATTCCATTACACTAATGTCATTACAGCCATCTCTGCAAGTTTCAAGTTTAAAGGTTGCAATTTAGGAGTGACGCTCCACGGGGTTTACCATGAGAGGCACTAGGAAGCAGTACGCACTGATCTCACTGAATACCAGTGTGTCTGCAAAATATTCATCCCCTTTAAAGAGAAAGTAAGGTAACAGTCATAGCGGAAACAGTTTCGTAACCTTGAGATTGAGTGTTGCGTGAGTTTTCTCGTGGACGCTGCTTTATAAATATGTATCGCGCCTTGCACCATTGTATTCTCTACTCCGTTACTCATGTTTCAGTATAATGAAGAAAAAAAAACACTTTAGCTGCCACATATCGCTCTCGCCGGATAAAAGCGGTGGATACCAGATCGCAGCATTTCGAGGCAGCAGGCTGATTTTTATCGGAATCCTTCGTTTGATCCGTAGTACTGCCTGAGCGGCAAACCGGAGATGAAGCCCTTCGATCCTTGTGTTACCGGGGAGCAGAAATACCCCATCACGGAGTACCAGCCCACTTACTTCGTGGCCGAGAGTTTCCAGCACGCGCAGAAAAAAATGCGGTAAGTCGATCTCAACTCAACGACTGTTCCTATTCTTTTAGTACGAAACTTCTCAATTCCACAACTTCCGCAAAATACCTAGTCCCTTATTTTACCCAACATTCCCAAGGATTCCCCGATGTTCCGCGTGGTCCCCATTTATTATTTCCAATTTTGCCCCCGAATATCCGAAAATCCCCCAATTCCCCATTTTTCCCAAATCTACTCATTTTTTTTTCTGAAACCCACCAAGTCTCATGCCTCAGTTTTACGAATGGCTGTCTCCAATAAACACTTTGCAGCCAAAAGTAATATGCAACAATACTTCCTTTTAGCACACGTCAAAGTGCGCAGTAAAATACGCAAAAATACATAAACACATACGCACGAATAATAAAACAAGAGGTCACTGAGATTCACTGCTTTAGCCGGCGTCGACAGACGCACAGAAAGGCGTCGCGGACGCCGTCACGTCGCACTAATGGCGATACTTGATTTCTCTCATGAACTACGTTACGTAACGTTCTCACTGCGAATTAATATAACCCACCAAACCAGCTACGACTTCATAGCAACAACTGCTCGATCACCTAGTTGGTTAAAATGATTGTTGCCACTTCTCTGAAGCTTTAAAGGGAAGCTGGAGAGGTCCTTTAAAGAACAAAAAAAAAAAATTAGTAAGGGGTGAATTGTAGAGTATTTTTATCCCGGGAATCTGAACGTCACGTTTGCCCCGGAGATGTAACGAAACACGAGGAAACACGAAAAACCTTCGAGCAGTTGTTACGTCATAAAGAATCTTTCGGCAGGCAACCACGTGTCGCTCGTGTGGGCAGCGCGTGCAATTGCAAGCTTGAAAGGTAAATTTCCCCGCACTGACATCAGTCGTGACGTCTTTTTTGAACCTTTTATTGAAAATAACAAGAGTGTACGTGCCAACGTTATAGATTAGCACAGTTAGTAACTCCTCATAGACGCTGCTTGCACGAGTAAGTACCCCCTTCACTCACCACGACCCGCCTCCCATCGATCGACGCGCCGGACGGCTGCTACGGTAACTACAGTGTATTCTATGGTATACTTACGTTTCGAAGCGAAGCGTCTAGTAGATGGCGTTCCACCGCATTCTATGGAACACACAGTTATGAAACGAAAACCTAGATGGCGCTTCAAACGACGGGAGGCGGACTGAAGTGAGTGAAGGGGGGGGGGGGGGGGGGGGGGGGTACCCCGTCCGAGGAGGTGGTTACACCAACTGAGGTAATCTAGTAACATTGGCACGTGCATAGTCTTGATAGGAGCTGAAGATGGGCGAAAGCAGAGATTCCAGAAACTCCTTTGATGACGTAACGCTCCGGGAAAGCGATGCTTCAGCGGTACTTTGAAACAGACTTTCTGCAGCCCCGTGCACCAAACTAAAAAATATTAATCTCGATATTCGTAATCGCGTGGGCCATGTGTAGACGATATAAGTGTTTTTACTGTAATACAGAAGCGGTTTAGTTTCGCTTTAAATAAAACCGCAAAAAAACTTTTTTTTAACGTGAAACGTTTTTTGTTTAGTTGCTCCGGGTTTCGTGAAGCTGTGGCCTCTTACGTTCCATAATGCAACGCGTGCAGTGTTGCATTATGGGGCGTCACGGATCTAAGCACCAATTCAGTTTCTCCGCTAAATTTAGTGGGGAAATTGAATTGGTGTATAAGTCTGTGACGTCCCATAATGCATCGCGTGTAGTGTTGCATTATGGAACGTCACAGACATAGACACCACTTCAGTTTCTTGGCTAAATTTAGCGGGGAAGTTGAATAGTTGAATGGGTGTATACGGCTTATGACATCAGGTCGCGTGATGTCCATTTCCCCACTAAATTTAGCGGGAAAATTAACGTCACATGACCTAGACAACAAATCAGTTTTCCCGCTCAATTCAATAGGCAAATTGACGTCACGGGACCTGATGTCACGTGATGCCACAACGTTCAACATTTCATGTATGCAACACAATTGCTCAACAATCTTTTTTTCGTTCTTCAAAAATGTTTAAAAAAATATTGGCGACGGAGCAAAACAATATCGCCAGAGTTTTACATAGCCGCATTCTAGAGTCTAGGAAGTAGTGTTCTCGAATAGGTAACGATCGCCGCTTGCGCCCGTTCTGTGCACCAAATTCGCAGCACCCGCGAACCGATCGGGAAATGTAGCGCCGATAACCGAATGCCGCTGACTCGCCATCGATATATCGAACACAAGACAGCCATGCGCGGCCACTGTCCGAGGGTTTTTTATTTCTTGTATGACGGCCCTGTCAGATGGGTCACCCAAAAACTGTCCGCAGACATGTTCAAAGCGTACAAGAATGCATAAAACAAACCGCGGACAGCCTCCGCGGAGCTCCGCGCATAATTGTCCACGGAAAATTTTGTCATCACTGCTACTGTGAACAAAATAATAATAATAGGGGTTGTGTGAATATTTATACACAACCCCAAACGCAGTACGGCCCTTCTTTTTGAAATACTGAAAACGGAGTTGGCATTGATGTCGCCTTTTTGGCTTTTTATTCTTACTCGGAATACATGGCGGCGCTGGCGGCGCTCGATGCATGCAGCACTGAGGATGATCGGTGGGTCGGAAAATGGGACGAAGTTCTCTTTTTTAGATCCCGACGACTTCTCAGAATTCGAAAAGGAAATGGTCAAACGGTCGGAACCACTGGGTTTTGTGTCTGTGTACCGTAGTTTCGGTTCTGACTCAGCCGGGGCAGCCTTTCACGCAGAACCGGCTCGACGAGGCACCTCACGTCGCTCACAAACGTCCACTGCGCGTTCTCTTAGACCTCGCACCATTTCAAACAATTTAAGATCGCTGAAAGGGCTCTAAAATAACTTCAAACTCGAAGGTTAAGCGTCGTCTGCTCGCAGCGACAGGCGGCAGGCATGGAGAAGAGTTGTTGATTGCGGGACGCGGCGAACACGACACTTAGGGTCGGTACGGAGGCGTGAGAGAAACTCGAGTTGCAGGACGACTCAATCTTTGACGTCACTGCACTGTCGCGGATCGCGCGGGAAGTTCAAATACGGCTTTGGAAAATTGTTTTTTTTACTTCACAAATACTGAGTTCCCAAGTTACTGATTTTGAGCGTAATGCCCAGGCATCGTTTACAATCGTTTCGAATAATCTATATATATATATATATATAATATTGACCACTCAGTGCCCCTTTAAGCGTATAGTTTATGCAAAAACACCATACTAGTTTTAACCAAAAAAAAATTTGCGCATCAATTATACACGCTGCTCGAAGTCCTTACAAAACTTGGTTGTCCCGGGAAGAATAGATGTTTTGGGCGTTTGAACCGCGGTAAGTTTTGACAAGATAAAGTATATCTAATCTAAAATGCACCTACGCATATCCTCATTTTCTAAATAAACGCCTAAATTAGTAACGCACCGCGAGGAGCCCGGGTTCCCTTTCATATACGTTTCCTGAGGGGAACACCAGTATAGCTGAAACCCAGTATAGAGCGTCAAAGAACGTTATCACTTTAAATTCTTTTTTTTTTCTTCCTCACATGCGCACTCAAACCCCCTAACCAATAATGGGAAGTGACTGACGAAAACGTCAAACTGGCGCAGAAGTTTGCCCCAGCGTCACCCTCTTTCATTACGCCCGGGCGGAGGAGCGGGTGCAACGAAATACCAAAGGGGCCCCGGGTGCCGCTTGGCTTTGCTACGCCACTTACCCCGCGCGTCGCTATGCCCAGGTCACGTGACACCCACGAGGTCTCCGACGGTTCGTATAGCGGCCACTGCGATCCATTAAAAACTAGGACTGTGTATGGCTTGGGAATTCGCTCGGGCCATGCCGAGAGACGCACCGCAGAACACTATACGTATCTTTTGAAACGGCCAAATAAAACGCAATTGGTGTTTGCACCGGCCCGAAAAAATTGTGAATTGTATTTTTTTATAGATTTAAGTGTAGATATGTAGGTAGATATAAAGCTACGTCTTAATACGAGCGCGACGCTAGCAGGCGACAACGCCAAGATGCACGCGTCTCTCGCTTTGCGACGTATACTCTCGTCCAACTTGAGCGTGTTTGCCGCTGGGGTGGGTCGGTGATCCACAAACGATGACGTCATGAGCAGGTGTTGTATTTTAGGTGATATTGGTTCAGGACGGAGTGGCAGAAATGGCACGCGGGGCGCATCAATGATCCCGTTTCGGTCGCCGCGAGAGAGAGAACGAGATGCAATTCGCGCCTCTCAGAGCGAGCAAAGATGGCGATCGTTCACGGTTCGTCTGCTAAAGGGAACGAAAAAGCGGTTCGTTTGCTACATAGCGCCATTCGCAGGAGAGAATAAAACAAACAAAAAATAGCGTACGCTGTCTCCCAACCGAGGAAGATCGATGGCCGAGTGGGCTAGCACGCCCCAGCTCGGAGCACCTGGAGCGAGAGCTCTCGCTGCAGAACTCAGTGATCCTGCGCTCAATTCCCACCCCCGGGGCCCGTTCCGATCTGGATGAGCAACGTACCGGCGTGCGGCCCTGTATCACCACTGCGTGGTGCACGTTAAAGACCCTAGGCAAGCGGTTGTACCGCACTCGCTGAATTGAGAAAATCTACAGCTGGAACCTAACGCTATTGGTGCTAACGTCTGGCCGTATAAACATGCCCACAACACAATTACAATATTGCTTAACGAAAAAAAAAAAATTAATCGTCTCTTACGATCCCTGGACCGCGGCGAAGTGAGATCGGACCCGGACTGAAATTGTGATTGTCTGCTATTTGACGTTCGAAGCGCTTCGTTTGCAAATTTCAGATTGTTCTGCTTTCGTATACACAAGCTGACATCGGCCGGTACTTAGGAGAAGCACGCCAGAGGCCGCGAGACCTCTCTCGCTATTCGGATGTCGGTAAGACGTTGCCACTATAATGTTGTCCGATTGCGAACTCGCGATCTCATTGATCGAAATCAACTTTTCGGTTGGGGGCGGCGGGGGGGGGGGGGGG